TTTTTTTTTTTTTTTTTTTTAGTAGCGTTTGTCTCATCTCGACGCACCGAAATAGCGAGCTGGATACAAATGGAGTTGCACGCATGGGTCATCGAATCCTAAGACGAAGGAGAGAGACCGACGCGGCGCACGGGAAGAAGGGAGAGAGGAAGACGTACAGGTAAATGACGTCAGAAGGTGAGTTGTGACGTCAGAAAAGTAACCTGGGGCAGGCCGCGTGGCGCCATCGGTTGTCCGTTAATTTCTAGATGCCGAGGGAGACGTCCTCGTTTCTATATTAGGACCTAATGCAATATCTAACAGGATGCTCCTTTTTTTTTTTAAACGTGTTATCGCGTGGGCGTCGTACAAAGAGAGCCAACTTGCGGACGATAAAAAAATTTGATTATATTAAAAACCGTCCCGTCGTACAATACGAAGATAGAAATGCGAAGATAAAAACGGTTCGACTCCTGATTGGTCGCATTCTCGAGGTACAACTGGGACCGTGTATATTACATTACATTCAATACACACAATACGAAGATAGAAATGCGAAGATAAAAACGGTTCGACTCCTGATTGGTCGCATTCTCGAGGTACAACTGGACCGTGTATATTACATTACATTCAATACATTAATATATAAATAATAATAATAATAATAATAAATAAATTTTACGGAGGGCAAAAAAAATTGACAAAAAGCAAGTGTTAAATTAACAAGCTGGCCTATTTTGTTATGCTGCAATTGATTTATCAAGTTCTGTCTCGATTACTCGCTATCCTTAGAAGGGGCGATAGCACGGTGACGAATAGAAGAGAGAAAAGGACACGAGCATAAGAGGGAGAAAAAGGGCTGATAACTGAGGGATCGAGAAAGGGTTTAACATTGAGACACATCATCCAGCTTGAACACGTTGACCCTTTCGCATCTATTAAGTAGCACGACATACTAACCGTCCTGTAGACCGCGATCGTCGTTCGAGAGATTCCTCGACGAGTGTTTCCTATCGAGGAGACACATGCACAAAACTCATCGCCGCCGCCGTTCGACGCACGTGACGTTATCTGCCACGATGAAATTATACGGAACCGCACACGAGAATGGGATAACAGTAGTCCCGGATGGATTTAACTCACTACGCAAATATAGTCGCAGCTGAGAACAATGTTCAACTCGCAATGTAAAGTCAAAACTATCTTTATAAAATATATATATAGATTCAGGAGAGTTTACTAATTTAATTTCTTAAAATAAATTTTGCGCACGTAAAATGTCAAGGATACAATTCAAGATTAAAAATTAACAAAAACTATTATAAAAAATTATATCAAAATAGTTTTTATAAAATAATCTACGATTCTATGAATAAATTCATGATTACGGAAAAATTAACGAAAACTATTATAAAAAATTCAATATTCATATCAAAATAGTTTTTATAAAATAATTTACGATTCTATGAATAAATTCATGATTACGGAAATACTATAATAAGATGAGATGTAAAGGTGCATTGAAACACGTGCGAGATATTTTTCTCATCAAACGCATCGCGTTTCGACGATCTCGTGAAAACTAAAAAAGAAAGAATCAAAAATCATTCCTCGCCTAGGCCAATCGGTAGCAGTATCGATAACGCACATCATTGTCGATGTGTCTCAAGTGGAATGCTGTCAATTGAACTCAAGACGCCACTTGTCTCCAGCGCGCGCGCGACAACTTTATATTCCGGAGCAATTAAAGCCGATTAAGACAGCTGCGGCCGGCAATTGGTCGGCCAATCGCGAGACGGAATGTGACGCCGAGTCGCAAGAAATTTTTTTTTCCCCCATTTACTTGCCAAGATCAAACG